CTACTATCTCAGTACATTTACTGTAGTTCGGTTGCAGCAATCAAAGAAAATAGCTGTTCAACTTTAAGTAATAATTTTCTCAAAGTCCAGAACCCTGCTGATTTTAATGGTCGTTTCATTCCAGAAGACTGAATGTATAGTGTGTCACTGATATGAAACCAGGAAATTTCAGGAAAACACATTATCATCAATGTCAGCATTCCAATTAAGTCCTTGCATATTATGCAGGAGCATATTAAGCCCCCCTAAAACGGTCAGGCACTCAAGGTACAGATGCAAGGCACACATTTATAGGCTTCTGACATATCATACAATCCTAGCAACAAGAAATCCACCTATCAGACTCCAAAATTCTGTAGCAATTCCACTTTGTCCTATTATCATGGATATTTAAATCATTATATTTCCAAGTAAATTACTTTTTTGAGTTGCATTTTTCTTCTGACCTACTGCAATCAAATATTTAGTCCCGCTAGGGACACACATAATTGTGACAAATCAGTTACACACACACACAGCAATAGGGCCACTGCACAAAATTACTTGTCCCATATTTGTCAGAATTTCGCTGTATAACAAATAACTTTAATATAGAAAATGATAAATGTTTCAGATCTCAATCTCCATTTGCTTCCCACCTCTGGAAGCCTGCTTCATGAATGTAGTGCAATCAACCAGAAATTCAGCTGAAGTTGTTCAGCAACAATAGCCCCAGTTAAAATAAAACACTTTAATATATTTGATGATCTACCATCTAACAATTCTTTAAACTGGATGCAATTTCCCCAAAAGGCTAATGCAGTCCTCAAGAGATGCCCAACCTGTTATAGACTTCCAAGGCCAAATATTTGTTAAAGTGAATTCAGGTAGAGTGTAATTGGATAAAATAGAGTAAAACGAAATCACAAATAGATACTTTCCAAGCCACTGCAATAATTTAAGCTTGCGATAGCCTTTGCAACAGAAAATTGCACAATAGCTCTCTACATTATTTCCAACAGCAAACAGAAACCATGCATTAGATTCTCTCACATAATGACTTAGCAGCATAGTGACTAAAACATGGATTTTAATAATGGGTTTATTAAGGTTTTGGAGTAGATCTGTAGCTCGGGTTGTGGGTGTTGAGGTTGGTTGGCTCGCCGAGCTGGTTTGTTGTTCCACAGACGTTTTGTTACCGTGCTTGGTAACATCCTCAGTGCAGCCTTTTTTTTTAGTATTTCACCATGGTTATGACGTGTTTGGTTCAGTTGTCAGGGAGAGGGATGGAGTCAGTTGTGAGGCAGTGGAGTTTGTGTTTGGGACTGAAGACAAAGACTTCAGTTTTGCCATTATTTAATTAGAGGAAATTTCTGCTTCACCAGGGCCGGATGTCACAAGTCAGGATGGTGTGTGTCCCGGAGGGAACTTGGAGGTGATGGTGTTCACATTCCCTGCTACCCTGCTGCTTTTTGGTGGTGGAGGCTGAGTGTTTGGAAGATTCTGATAAGGTTATGGTCAAGTTGTATGTGTTTAAAATCCCCCTCCTTCAGCCCCTTTCTTCACTTAGAAGCCAGGGTTCTCTTGTTGTTTGCTTGACATCAATTTCACAGGATATTAGAAGGGGAAGATTTACAAACCAACCATCTCACCATGATCTGATGGAGTTGCCCATTTTATCACCACAAATGGAACGTGATCCGATTTTGAACATGGAAGGAAACAGCCCCGTTCACACTGGAGAGAAACCGTACACATGTTGTGCGTATGGACAAGGCTTCAGCCGATCATCAGGCTTCACAAGCCACAAATGCAGTCACACTGGGGAGAAACTATGGAAATGCGGGGATTATGGGGAGGAATTCATTCCCCCACCTGAGCTGGAAACTCATTGACGCAGTCACACCAGTAACAGGCCATTCACCTGCTCAGTGTGTGGCAAGAGACTCACTCAGTCATCTAACCTGCTGCAACACCAGGTCGTCCACACTGAGGAGAGATCATTTCAATGCCTGGACTGCGGAAAGTGCTGTATAAATTCCGGAACTGCTATGCCATCAATATGTTAACACTGCAGACAGACCTTTTAAATGCCCAGACTGTGGAAAATGCTTTAAAACTTCCAGGGAGATGTCATCCCATCACTGCACTGAGGATGTTACCAAGCACGGTAACAAAACGTCTGCGGAACAACAAACCAACTCGGCGAGCCAACCAACCTCAATGGGTTTATTATTGGGACTACCTTAACATTCACTATTATACTGCTCTATTTTCCTGGCTAATTTCTTTTTAATGTTGAAAAGCAAGATCAGGTAGATGCTGGAAATTTGAATAGAAAAAAACAGAAAATTCTGAGAATGCACAAGAAATCTGGTAGCATCTGTGGAGAGAGAAGCAGAGTCAATGTTTCGGTTTGGTTGAAAGGTTATGAACCTGAAATATTAAATTTGTTTCTGTCAACAGACATTGCCTGACCTGCTGAGTGTTTAAGTTTAATTTCAATGGGCTTTTTCCTCTCCATTGGGATTCATTTTTTGTGTGGAGGAATGAGTCATGCAGCTTATCATAGGTTCTGTTGGCGATCTTGCCTGAACCATGAATACCTGCTTATTCAGTTATACTTCCTCTCCTTACTCCAGCTCCAACATGGAACCTTCATTAAAGTGTAAAAGAACAGAGTGCTCAAGCCACGATCCTCAGAGAAACAGCCACCACACAGCACTGGTGCACATTTCTATATCGGTCACAGCACCTGAAGTATATCCATGGTCAGCTAAATCACACCATGAACAGCATCATACTAAAGTAAAGAAGAAGTGGTCAGGGAATCAATTGAGATTGTGAGCCAGTGCTGACGAAGGTAAACCTGATCTTCTATCAGTTTTCTACATGCTTCCTTTTATCTGCAAACAACACAGGTATGTTTAACTGGCATTTACTTCAAGTATCAAGCCAGTTGCCTAGTTATTGGGTACTGACATATTATTTAAAGTACATCAACACTTAACTGATCAAATGAAACCTTTTCCAGTTCAAAAAGGTCTATTGATGTGACCAGGGTTGAGACTATAGCCATTTTCATCTGATACTTGGGGAGATCACTGCAAGTGAACCATCCTCTCACATTAATGTGCTAGGTCCATTGGGAAAGTCACGCTGTGCTGTTACTGAAAGCAATGCATCCATCTCAGCTTAAGAAAAGAATGGACAGCTGACTACTGCGTGTGCATATTTCTACCGCTCCTGCTGCCTCAGAGTTTTATGTCTAGTAAAGATGGGAGAAAGCAGCTGGCAGAACACTTTGGTTCTCTTATGAGGGAATGTTAGTGTTTTAATACAATGTTTATTGGAAAAGATTCCAAGTGTAACTTTTTTGGCACCAACAGCAATTCTGGAACTATTAGCAAGCATGAGAGCAAGAAAAAGGATAGTTTCAACCAAGTTTATGCTTCTATGACAAAGTGTTAAAATCTTGTGAAATTTGAATCCTACATAAAAACCACAGTGCTCTAAACTAGGAATCTTCACCACTTATCCTGGCAAATGTCCAGGACCAGAGGGTGATTCTCTCCTTTGATGTTAATGCCAGGGAATGATATTCTCATATACACAACACCAGCTTCCACCAACCAAAGCCCATTTCTTGCTGCAAACTGAAGTATTGTTAGCTAGAACCAGTTGAGGGGTACCAGTTCTTTCCCTTATAAAGGAAAACTAAAGGGTCACGTTGACCCTCTTTCTACAAGCATCTTGCCATTCTCAGTCCCATTTTCTCGCACGTCACTGGACTTCTATGGGGAGGATGAAGGATCAATCAAGGACACAATGTAAGAACTCTGCATGTCTCGATCGTCTCAATCAGACCACAATATCATTCTCATGCTACTTCTGCCTATCTGCAATTATACCTCACAAAAAAAAACCTTCCATTCACATGTCTCTACCACACTGCTCTTCCCATCTGACAAAACACCCATGTGGTTTGTTTCAGTCCTAGCCCCTAAGCAGCAGTGTCCATAGTTTCTCACCTACTTTCCTTCATTCTCTCTACCAGCTCATCTTCTCTATGAACCTCCGCCTCTACCCCAGCACACCTGTCCCCATTCTCACTGAAGTGCTAAACACTAAACATCCCTTTCTGGTATCCATGCCAGTTGTACAAATGGTTTTATCTCTCTCTTTCAAAACTACTGATGTTCCCCTTCTCATAAAGTCCACTGCCATCCCTTCTGTCCTTGCAAACTTCAAATTTCATTTCCATCTGCAACCTATTGTACCCTGTCCTATCCTCCTCTGTATGCAGTATTCTTCCCATACCGTGCCTAATTTTCCCAAACCATTGCCATCACGATCCAAAACTCAAAAGGCTTCTCTTATTTCTGTGAACCACTTCAGTTAGGTTTCTGCCCCATAACAGCATTAAAATATCAACCCACCAAAATCACAAAAGCTATCTTCTGTGACTATGATCATAGCACACTATCCCTCCTTGTTCTCTAGACCTATAATTTGGAACAGTTGAACAAAACCATCTCCATCATTGCTCAGCTCAGTGGAACTACTCTCCTCTGCTTTTATTTGTAGCTATCTATTGCAGCCAAAGAATCACAAGCAACTCTCCTCTTACACCTGCACATTACCTCTCCCAACCATCTATTCTTGGTTGTCCCCATTCCCCCGATGAGCAAAAATAATTTTGCTCTATCTGTCTATCAGCTCACTTGAAACAGAACTCAGTTTGAGACATCTCCTTCCGTATTTTTACTTTCTGAGACCCAGTATTGGTCTAATACATCTTTGCTGCATTCACTCCAAGGCAAAGATATAAACCTGTCTCAAGCAGAGCTATCACCACATGCAGCTGAATATTATTCAGTCATCTGATCTTTAATATTCTTGTAAGGTGTAATTAGATTATCTTTAAATAAATATTTAAGAGTCATTCTTTATAAATCAGATACATTAATCATACAGCACTTATACACTACATTACAGCAATGTGATAAATGTTCTCTTACCATCCATATCTAGTCGTTGCATGATGATTGCCAGTTCTACCTCACTGGGCATATAACCCAAGGACCTCATCGCCATTCCGAGTTCTTGCTTGGAAATGAAACCATTGCCATCACGATCCAAAACTCGAAAGGCTTCTCTTATTTCTGTTAATGTATATGAAAGAAAAAATAACAGTTCCAATTGAGTAAAGACAAAACTTGCTAGCATTTATAAAATGCCATTCCTGACCTCGGAATGTCCCAAAGGGTTTTACATCCGGTGAAGTACTTTTGGCGGTGCAGTCATTATTGTTCTATAGAAAAATTGACATCACACAGCAAAGTGCCACCAGCCATAATGACCAGATCATTTGTGCCTTGCATAGGAACAGCATAGAAATGTAGAAATTTAAAATATAGGAGCGGGAGTAGGCTATTTGGTCCTTCAAGTCTGGTCTACCATTCAATATGATCCTGGCTGTTCTCATTATGTCCCCATACCTTTTGATACATTAAAGCACCTTGGTCTCTTTGCGGAGTATATAGTCAAATAGAATGGGGAAAATTTCCTTTATTCATTTACCCTGAGCAAAATTATAAACTAGCACTTAGTAGATGGTTTTATGATTCCAATAATGCGCACACAGGATATTTTCCTAAGAGGTCCCCATTAAAATAACTTATGAGTTCATTAAACAGAATTATTGCCCATTGTGACAAATATGTGAGTGCTGAAAATTACAACAGAACATTGTATTCTATCTTTATCTATAAATCCAAATGACAAAAGTAGGTTTTAGGTAGCAAACACAGAATTCCCCTACTGCATTTCCTGGTCTCACTGGTCTCAATGGAATTGCTGCAATTGACCTGGATGAGACAGAAGAAAAATCAACTAATTTTCTGATTTCCATTCAACAGCTTGTGCTGGCAATGGTGTACTGTCTGTAGGCTTCAGCTGTAGACAGCATTAAAGCTGACTGGAGAGAACTACCCAGCTAGCCCATCCTGTCCAAAACAGTGAAATATTCTCCACAGTAACGGAATTTAATTGGCTGTTACATTGGGCCCCCTTTGTCGGATGGAACTCAGGGTTCTGAAGTAAGCGAGGATTTTCAACTTGCAAGAGACAGTGCTCCAGCGAAGTAGTAATGGTGAAGAGGGTTATCAAAGTGTCGACTTCCTACTTGCCCAACCTAAATGGGACCTGGCATGTGTCTGAAGGTTTGCATGCGCAAAGAGCTGAGACACACACTCTTCCAGAAAAGCAATGTGTGCCCTGCTTTAGGTGCTCGGGGGAAGCGGACAGGCTAAAATGGAAGGGACAAATAACCCCATTTGTCAGCCATATTCCTGAAACATTCCACCCAACCAGTACACATGCTGTCGGTTACAAACCCTCCAGGATTGTCCTCGAGTCTGCAAGAACTAAAGTTCAACGTCCAGTGCCGTTGTGGGCATTCCTGGAGAATACTCAGAACATTATTTCACCAATCATAAAAATGAAACAAAGAACTGGGGATGCTGGAAATCTGTAACAAAAACAGAAATTGCTGGAAAAAGTCAGGAGGTCTGGCAGCAACTGGTGAGAGAAACTTGAAATATCATGAGCAGTTTTGGGCCCCACACCCAAGGAAGAATGTGCTGGCCTTGGAGGGGGTCTGGAGGAAGTTTACAGGAATGATCCTGGAGATGAAGGCTTGTCAGATGAGGAGGATTGAGAACTCTGGGTTTGTGCTTGATGAAGGGTGAGGGGGGGGATCTCACTGAAACTTACAGAAGATTGAGAGGCCTGGATAGAGTGGACATGGAGAAGATGTTTCCAGTAGTAAGACAGTTGAGAACCTGAGGGCATAGCCTCAGAATGAAGGGATGGTCCTTTAGAACTGAGATGAGAAGAAATTTCTTCAGCTATAGGGTGGTGAATCTCTGGAACTCTGCCACAGAAGGCTGTGGAGGCCAAGTCATTGAGTGTTTTTAAGACAGAGTTAGATAGGTTCTCGATTAGTAAGGGGATCAAAGACTACAGGGAGAAGACAGGAGAATGGAGTTGAGAAACATATATCAGCCATGATCAAACGGCAGAGCAGACTCGACGGCCTGATTGGTTAAATTCAGCTCCTATATCTTATGGTCCTAAGGTCTAAAGCAGAGTTAACGTTTTGAGATTTTTAAAAAATATTTTTGCACTTCTGCTTGCTAGTTAGAAAAATGCTAGAGGCAGAGGTAGAGGCTATTTAGCTAACAGTTTAAAATCATCCAAGGTAGGTGACAGGGCTTGTTCGTATGGGGAGGTGGTGTGCTACAATGATGGACAGATTGGGCAAACAATGAAGACATGACACATTGGGGTAAGTCACGTGATGCAAAAATCGAGAATCCGTCCAACCAGAATTGGAAAGCTAACCAGGCATTCAAATAATAAAACGAAATGTCTGAAACACTAATTGTTTGTCTGTCTACATACTCAGCATTTTCTGTTTGTATTTCACATTACCAGCATCTGCAGGATCTGGCTTTTGCCCAAATAAAATGATCAATCTCACTTCTAGCAAAATACCACTGCCATCTTAGGCACGGTATCAAAAGATGCCAATAAATTAGAGTCAGTGCAGATATTCTCAAGACACAGGAAGACAAATCTCACAAAGATTGAGTTCATGAGCAATACAGCAATAAGAACCATTAAGGTATGAATATGGGGTCAGTAGCTTTACAACATTGTAAACCCAAATGATCTCTGACTTCACAGGGGGAGAAGGGGGCCTTCAGATACCGAGAAATATGCTTGCCCCTGTCTCTACACTTACGGGATGTGGTTTCAAAAAGAATTTGAAACATATGCAGACTAAATCTTAAAATGAAAATCCTCAAGAGTGACTCATGAAGAAAAAAAATGGAATTAGGACACAGGCATTCAACGGGCAGCTAACTCAGTGCTGCTGCACCAATACCTCAACTCCCCTGACACCCTCGTGACATATTGTCATCACTCCATAGGTCTTCTACTTAGCCTCGTTGAGTACCATTGAGTGTCTCTCCTTGAAGATTTATTGGCGTTGAGCTTTGAATGCTGGTTCTGACATTCACTTAAGTCATATCAAGTTCATTCTACATCATCCTGTTATCTATTTTTATTCAATCCCATTAATATCATAAAACAATCTCAATTCCACTTTTCCGACATTCTTGTTATCACATGAAACTTCTTAATTGTTTTATTCAATTTCTGCGTCAATGTTCATTCGATCTTTCAACTGATACCTTTTCTTTTACTATTTGTCCCGACTGAATTATTTCATGTACCACCACATAAATTCTGATCAACATCTCTCTTAACATACTCGGCTATCAAAAAAACCAATAATCTCATTTTTGAAACTTTTGATTTTCACTCCAATAGTTTTTGTGGGAAAAACAAGAGTTCCAAATTTACAATGCATGTTGTGTTGAGAAGTGCTTTCTGATTTGATTTTTAAATGCGTTAGGCTTAATTTTAAGGTTTGTTTTGCTCCCAATCAATAGTAATACTGTACAATTAAGATCCTAGAGGGAAACTTGGCTTGATAGGCCACAAGTCTTGACTTTGCAATTTGTGTACTGTGGTGGTCAGTCACCAAACGTTTTCACTCAAGGCTTCCAATGTACCATTAACAAAAGAACTTAAGTTTTTCACATGAAGAAACAAAGCTATATGACAAAAAAAATCAACACTTTTTCATAACAATATCCTTTACAGGCAATCAACCCTAGTGAGGTATCACTCAAATATTCACCCTTTAATTTCTTACACAAATTGACAAGGTCCCATGAGTCCCCTTATAGCAACCTTCTGCACATTCACCAGATGTGACTCTCTCTGTCTCTACCTGAGACACACAGTCACAGGCTAAGTCACTGATTCTTCTCCAAGAGAAGAACAACAGTGCTTTTTTTCCAGTTACTTTGACATCTTTCAGGCTTATGGAAAGCACATCCATTGGGATACATCTTTTCTTCTAAACAGAACCTGCCCCTGACCTTAGATTACAAGGTGTAGAGCTGGATGAACACAGCAGGCCAAGCAGCATCAGTGGAGCAGGAAGGCTGACGTTTTGGGTCTAGAGACAACAAGGTGCACAGCTGGATGAACACAGCAGGCCAAGCAGCATTTCCTCCTATGATGCTGCTTGGCCTGCTGTGTTCATCCAGCTCTGCACCTTGTTGTCTCGGATTCTCCAGCATCTGCAGTTCCTACTATCTCTGATTCAGTTTTGGGTCTGGACCCTTCTTCAGGAAATCTGCCTCTGACCTTTCTATCTTTGGGTCATAAAATCTAAAGTTAGCAATTATCAAACCAGGTCACTTGTCTCGTCATTCAGTTCAAGTCACAAAATTTCTTTAAAATGCTGTTTACACTTATTGGTGTGAGCTTGCCCCCACAAGGTGTGATCCAGCAATTCTTATGTTATCTCATGTAATATAGCAAATGTATGTGGCTATGATGCTGTGGGAAAATTCAACAGAGACTTAATTACAAACAACTATGATGTATAAATATTATAGCCCTCAGGCACATAAGTGTCTGGGCTAACATTAAGTTATTAGATTACAAGAGAAAGGCATGTTTATAATATGCTTCAAATGATCCGAAGTAAGGTAGACTTACAAGATCATTATACACTCAGGAGAAATGTTATTATATAGCTACTATATCGTCAGCATGTCTCTAGAAGACATAATAATGGTGAGACATAACATAGTACCCACTGCTGAAAGAAAAGTTTCTGATCCTTTTAGAACCAAGAGAACTGAAAACCAAAAGCCTATTTACTTCTACTTGAAGTCAATTTTCCAAATAATAACATATCATACTCCATCACCTCAGTTTATTCCCCCTTGTTCTAGACTGCCCCAAGGGTACTTTAGCCATATCTATCTCATCAAATCTTAAAACAAAATAATCTCCTTCAAAAGCAGACAATGTCATTGTTTACAACAGAAACAAATAAAGGTGCAATGGCAGAAAAGTAAAAACATCAAAGTGCTGTTTTCCTTCATTCAGGACTGTAGCTACTATTTCTGCCATCTGTTGCTTCTGACAAAAGGTTCCTGCACTGCAGATCCTAGACCCGTTTTCTGTCCCCATCTTGCTCAGATGTGCCCAAAATTAGGCAAACAAAGAG